GAAGTCCCTTAATGTGTTTTTAATGCAGGAGCTGGAAGAAGCCTTAATCAAGAGCCAGTCCAAATGTGTCACATTAGCTATGGGAAAACCAAGGCCCAAACCCTAATTTGCTTTAACATGTGCAGGAACTTAAGAGTAAGAGCTGTCCCAAAGTGGGACAAAGCAGGGGGCAGTCCCAAGAAGCAGCATAATAGTTGGTTACAAGGTTCAGCTTTTGAAGCAAACAGATCTGGTTGAAATCCCAGCTCTGCCACTTGCTGTGTGACTTTGGGCAAGTGCTTTCATCTCTCTGAGCCTGTTTATAATTCATTTACAAAATGGAGGTGGCTGGAAAGTGTGATCTTGTCCAGAAGGTGTTTAACACATAGGGAGCGCTCACAAAATGTTAGTTCAAGACAGAAGGTAGACAGTCATTTGTTGGAACGATTTAGGGATAAGGGATGCTGGAGAATGGGGTGGGGGTATTGTACTGGATGACTACTGTTGATAAAACTGTTGTTTTTGGTTGACCGACATCCCATTCCTCCCTTTTCTGGTAATAGTTCCCTTTGGTGAATGATCCCTCCCCACTCTCAGTCCATATCGTTCAGAGAAGCTGACCCCAACCTCCCCTTCCACTAGGGAGCACTGAAGCAAGGTCTAGCCAAGAAGTCAAGTGATTGATTCAGGACTGCGGTTGTAACCTAGGCTTGACCAATCAGAGTCAACGGATCCTGGAAAGAGACTCTCTGCTAGGCTTGTCAAGTTGGCAGGATATGGACCTGGAGTGGCTGGGAGCCATCTTGCCCTCACAAATGGAGAGCCAACACAGACAAGAGCAGAGCAAAGAGAGGCAGATTCCTGGCCATATCATTTAACTCCTCAACTAGAACCAGCCAAGCCTGATGCCCCGGAACTTTTTGTTTAAAGGAACCAATAAATCCCCTTTTACGCATAAGCCAGTTTTAGCTAGGTTTCTGCTAATTGCAACTAAGAGTCTTTATTAATACAAAGACCCCACATCTAGAAAGGGGGGAAAGAGAATGCATTGTTGGTGACCTCTGGAATTCCAGGAGGAAAAGGCAAGCGAGAGAGGCATTCTTCATTTTCTTCATTTGCCCCTTCTGAGCACAGTACCTAAGTAGAGAACCTGAACAAAGCAGACACTTATTTTTGGAGTTAATAAATGAAGACATAGGTGGGCGGGAAGTCACTGGGGAAGACAGTGGGGAATAAGATGAACTCTGGCTCTCTTCTTTATCCAGACTTTGGAGGAAGGGAGAAATCTGATCCAACCCTCAATCTGCTAGGAAAATCCCCTCTGTACGATTCCTGACACTTGGTAGGTGCTTGATGGCAAAATGAATATGTGAATTAAAGAAAGGAAGGAAGGGCATTTAAGAAAATCAGGATGTCAAAACCTGCAAGGGCTTAGAGATGATCTTTGCCAACTACCTCAGAGTTCTCTCATCTTGAAATGGCGGTAATATTCGCACCTACTTCCTCGTGGAGTTGTTGTAAGGATTAAAGGATTTTATACAAACAAAAGGCTTAGCAAAAAGTCTGGCAAACTAGTAAATGCTCAGTAAACACTACTGTTACTATTATTCAACCAGAGTGGCTGGGGCTGTAAGGGAGGTGGGCCGGGGGAACACTTACCTGTCCCTGGGACCCAGGAAGTTGGTCCTGGGCTGTTCAGGGAAACACAAGTGCTTGCTGGAATCCCACATCTGCAAAGAGGGGAAAAGAAAGAATTATTAGTGACCTCTGGGATTCCAGGAGGAATGCACAGCTTGACAGGCAGCCTCATTTCCCCCACCATACTCCTTTGAGCACTCAGAGATCCCAAAATAAGTCCCCAGTCCCCATAAACACAGGTCAAGAGACCAAATTAAAATGCCCAAACTCTAAACTGAAGTCCATGAATCTCAAATTGCAAATTGGGGCCCATAAATCATGATCCAGACCTAAAACTAAAAGGAGCAGATTCCCAAACTTTGACTTCAGAACTTCAGTCTTAACAGTGAAATGTCAGACCCTGCAATGGGAACCACATCTGAAAACTGTGGCTTGAGATCTCTAAACTGTGATATTAAGATGCTAAAACTATGTCTTTAAACTCCCAAAGTGAGGACCTAGAACATAAAAAGGAGGCCATCCCAAACCTAAACGCCCTGAACTCTAATACTGAGATGCTCTAGACCCCCAAACTGTTAATTTCTGATCTCCAAATATGAACCCAATCCTAGTATTAAGAACACAGACCAGGGCTTCCCTGGTGGCTCAGTGGTTAAGAATCCGCCTGCCAGTGCAGGGGACACGGGTTCAAGCCCTGGTCTGGGAAGATCCCACATGCCCTGGAGCAACTAAGCCCGTGTGCCACGACTACTGAAGCCCGCACGCCTAGAGCCCGAGCTCCGCAACAAGAGAAGCCAGTACAATGAGAAGCCCGCGCACCGCGACGAAGAGTAGCCCCCGCTCGCCGCAACTAGAGAAAGCCCACGTGCAGCAACGAAGACCCAGCGCAGTCAAAAATAAAAATAAATTAATTAATTAAAAAAAGAAAAAAACACAGACCACAAACTTTAATATTGAGAACCCAAACCCTAAAGTAAAAAATCCAATCTCCCCAAAGCAAACCTCAGTCCCCCAAATTGACCTCAGATCCTAAAACAAAGACCTCTAGATCCCCAAACTGTCACTTCAGACCCTCAAATTGTGACCCCCAACCCTAAACTGAGATCTCACCCGTGAGTTCCACTCTCTAACCCAAACTCTAAAACTGAAGCCTCATACTCAATGTGGGGGACTGCAGGCCCTAACAATTCTCAAAGTTCCAAACTGTGATTCCAGACCCTAAATCTCATACCTCATACTCTACATTGAGATTCTAGACCCTAAATCTACACTGAAGCTTCAATCCTCCCAAATTAGACCCCGGACCCCCAAAATGCTATTCTAGACTTCCAGATCCCCAGACTAGGATCTCTGATTCCAACAGGAAAGCTTCCAGCCACAAAACCCAAGACCTTCAGATTTCCAAAACAGTTCTCTCCAGACACAAATCCCGAGACCCCAGATCCTAACTTGTGACCCCCAAATCCCCAACACTATTCAGAGACTTCGTATCTCAAACTTGAGCGTGGATCCCCAAACCTAGGCCCAGCCTCAAACCCAAACTCCGGCTCTGCTGCTTGGGTCCTGCCTCCCCCAGGGCCCGGGCACCCAAGGCACAACCGCCCTCCCGTCTGTCTGAAAGTCCCAGAGGGAGGCCACGACCACGAAGTGGACCCCAGGCTCCCCTCTGGCCGGCTAGTCACCCGACCCGTTCCCCTTGGCCTCCAGCACCCGCCTCAGGACGTGCACAATGGCGTGAGCAGCCCCCTTCTGGTTTTGCGCCAGCCCCACACTTGGGAGCCCGATCAGACAGCGTCTCGTGCTGGTCCCGGTAGGCTAGCTGCGTGCGCGAACCTCAGGCCGGCCTCAGCCACCACGTTCCAAGCGTGAGGTGGACGCGAATCCCCTTTGGCGCGAGGCTCCTGCGCGAGGCTCCTGCGCGAGGCCTGAGGAGGAGAGCAAGAGCGAACTCCTGAGGCCAGGCCACGCCCTCAGCAGTTCCCGCCAAGATGTGCTGGGTGCGAGACTGGCAGGGTTCGAGTGGCCGTGCGCACGCGCGACTGGGGAAGGCCCTGTCTTCCACCACAGAGCTAGCCTGGCCTCGCGCCTCCTGACACAGTCTTTGCCGGTGCGCGCCAAAGTGCCGACCAATCAGCGCTCGCTCAGCTGCCCGCCTTTTCGGCAGGTGCCGCCCCTCAGGCCACGCCCCCAGACCTCTTCTGAGGTCCCGAGCCAGTGGAGCCTAATGAGGAGGCGGGGTCTCCCTAACTGCCAATTCTCCGGAAGCAAGGGAGATGTGACCAGTCTCCCTTCCCAACCTCTGGTGTCCCGTTGCCAACTTTTCTCTTTAGCGCATGTCTAAGGAGGGCCTATGCCAAGCGCTATGCTACAAGTTGGGAATTTAGCCAAAGTCTTCCCAGTGCAGTTGGGAAGGCTCACAGACCGTGAGAATCTAGTGAGGCACAGGCTGCATTAAAGAGAGAGAAATTGAGAAAAGATTCAGAGGAGGGCCATTGGAATCGAGCCTTAATAGAGGTTCCCCTCATGAAGTTGTTATGTTCCTTAATATAGCAAACTTTCCATTTTAGAAAGTTCACTCTCATGGCCCGTGAGGAGGATGGACAGGAAAATATAGCTTAAGGGGAGACGATCTAGCAACCTAGTGGAGAGCAGAGGCCCTGGGGTCCAACACATTTCAGTTCAAATCACTTTGTTGCTGTGTTGCCCTGGAGAAGAATCTCAATCTCTTTCTGCCTTAGTTTTTATAAATTTGGGATAATTCTTGGGTCCTGTGCATAGTGTCTGGCATATAATTTAACATACAATAGATATTTACTCAACATTTATTTACACTCTTCTGTGTGCTTGAACAAGATACAAAAAGGTGCCTGTCTTCGTGAATCTTTTAACTATGATATGTACAAATTTCTAGTGCATGGAGCTATCCTCCCTCCTAAAGCTTAAGGCTAATTTCCTTATGTGTAAATTAGGAGGTGGTGGTAAGAAAACCAGGGGGAAAAATGGATGGGAAAGTGTTTGAGAAAGTACAAGGCACTGTTAATTATTATGTTAATCAGTTTAAGTGAATCGGTAAACTTGCTCTTCCCACCTCTCCACCCCTCACAAAAGCTGCCCCTTTGCAGTTTTCTCAACCCCTTTTCCAAGGGCCCCGGGCCAAAATGGAGGAGGTTGCACTCCAACTCCCAGTGCGCCTGGCGGGGGCGCTCTGTGCGCCTGCGCTGTCAGGCCCCCTCTCTACCGCCTGGGAGTTAGAGTCGTTCTTTTCCTCAGCCCGCCCAGTTTGCTTCCTTCCCCACCTCCAAGCTTGACCGTGCTGCCTTCTGGGAGTTGTAGTCCGTGGCCGCCCGGACTCCAATTCCCAGCGGGCTTCGGGGCGGGAACCCGGAAGGGGAGGCTGGAGAGGAGCGAGTGGGGGAAACCCGCGTAGCCGAGGGAGCTGCAGCGCGGGGAGATGGTGAGAACCCCGAGAGGGGGCCGGGGGCGCTCGAGAACCCGGGCGGGGGTTCGGGACCCTGTGGCTAGAGGGAAGAGGCAGGGGCTAAAGAAGGGACTGGGTGAGGGGAGATCGCTTGGGGGAGGGGATTGGGAGAAATGGGAGCCGGAGGGAATAGTAGAAGAATGGGGGCTGGGGATGGGTCTTGAAGGTGGGGAGAGAGTCGAGCTTTGGGGTTGATTGTGAGGGAGCTCAGAGCTGGGGAAATGAGTCCCGAGTTGGAGAAGGGGCTGGGCGTCCTGGCAGAGGCCCTGAAGGGGGCAATTTCGAGGGGTTTAGCGTAGGGGATGTGGAAAGGCATGGGAGTCAGTGCTAGATGAATGAGGGGGTCTGGAGGCTCCGAGGGAAAGGCCAGCTGTGGATGCTGTGGGTTGGAGCTTCTGGATCGGATTGGGGACAGGATGGCAAGCTGAGATGGTGGAAGAGAGAAATCAGTGATAGAGTGGTGTGTAGGTTAGGATACAGAACTGTGGGTGGAGTGCGGAGCATGAGATGAGGGGCCTGCCTGTAGCGATAGTTTGCTTGGTCCAGCCAGAGACTCCCGATAAACTGGACAGTCACAGAACTGTAGGATAATATGGCCAGCAGGGGCCATAAAGACGACCTTTTGCACTCTCGTTTCTCCAATGGAATTAGAAAAGTGTAGCGGATTATGTGTATGGACATTCCAGCATTCAGATCTTTTCTTTTGCTACTCCTTTGTGACCTGGGCAAGTGTCCCCTCTCTGAAACTCAGTGCCCTTATCTATTGTGGGAACAACATGCCACTGAGAAGAGAGGAGGCTTCCTAAGATCGTCATCCCGGCTCCGGCTCCGGGTAAGTCCTTAGTCTAAGAGCTGTTGGTGGGAAGTTCCCCACCCCAGGAATGTGACTGGGTCACAGGTGCTAATGGATTCTCTCCTTTTTAGTCCAGCCCCAGGGGCGTTATCTCAAACCCTGGCACCGAGCTGGGCACACCCCAGCTCAGAAACATGCGGGGGCGGGAGGGGGGGGGCTTAGCCACAGTCGATTCCAGCTAACACTTATTGTTTAGGAAGTGCCTGGCCGTGTTCTTAGCTACTTGTATGTGTTAAGTCCTTTAATTCTGACAACACCCCTAAGTTGTAGGTTCTGTTGTTTTCTCCATTCTACAGAAAGGAAGCAGAGGCACAGAGAGGTTCAGCAACTTTCCCAAGGTCATCCAGCATTAAACGATAGACTCAGGATTCCAACCTAGACATCCTGGCTCAGAATCTGTGCTCTCCCCACTGTAATTTAGTCCCCTCTCCTTGTACTGACGTACGGTGTCATGAGTAGGGCAGAGACTTGAGAACTGAAGCAGTCCTCAGTTTGAATTTTAGTTCTGCCATTTACTTGCTGTGTGACCTTGGGCAAGTCTTTTGGCCTCTCCTCAATTATAAAATGGGATCAGAACCCCTAGGAAGGTTAGAGGGTTTGGGCAGGTAAGCACGTGAAGTGCTTGGAGTAAGTGCTTTATACACCTGAGTTGTCGTTTTTTTGGAATGGGAATGGGAAACACAGACCTGAGAGAGGGCAGTAGAGAAGGACCAGTGAGGGAGACATCAGCCAGGCTGCCTTTCCTTTCTCTCCCAGGTTCCTCCCATATCCTGACTCTTGTAGTTACCCACCCTCTACCCCTGGGCACCCAAGCCCAAGGGTGACTCCTCGAGGGGGTGCTCAGAAAGTCAGTCTGTCCCCATTCCCATTCCTAGCCCCAGCCAAATATAAATATTTCACTTGCCAATGCCCAGCCTGGCCCAACTCCAGGTATTTCTGTGAATATGAAATATTTCTAACAACTGTGTGCTTTTTTCTCCCAACTTTTTGGTCATTAGGACCTCACTGGGCAGTTTGGCAACTTTGTCAGTCATTTTGAAACAGTTTGGTTCATTTGTCTTGAGGCTTCCGGAGTTTATCCCATAAATTTTCTGACCCTGATAGGAAAGCTTATGGTTAATAGCATCAGCGTCAGATAGGACCACGTTCCTGTCCCGCACCTCTGCTGCTGTGTGTCCTTGGCCAAGTTGCTTTCCCCCTCTGGGCCTCAGTTTTCTCATATGTAAAATGGGGCCACATTCCAGCTGTGAGGCTCTTGTAAGCAGTTGATGAGGTCACATGTATAAAACGCCTAGTGCATATTAAGCTCTTAATAAGTGTGAAGTATTTTGATTAATTTTATTCCTTCAAGAAAAATTTATTGAACATGTGCTCCGGAACCAGAACACCCAGATTTGAATCCTGGCTCCATCACCCACCAGCTATGTGACTTTGGACAAGTCACTTAACCCCTCTGGACCTCAGTTTCCTCTTCTGGAAAATGGGGGTTCATCCCTTGAGTAGTCCACCATGTTGATAGAGCACCTACTATGTGCCAGGGCCTGTACCAGGTACATTTTTGTCTCCAGGTCTCCTGTTAGTTTGGGGAAAAGTTGCCAACCTCTTACTCTTCCCTGTACCAGTTTGTCACATCTGGGTGCCCTGGGGTGATGTGACACCTTTTTCCCCCTTTATTTGTTTCTCTTAGAAAATGTTTCTCCTTTCCAAGTTATTTTGCCTTTTCTTCAGATCTTAAGTGTGTTTTCAGCCTGTGCTTATCTGAAGCTTACTCATACAAAATGATTTTTTTTTTATCATTGAGAATGGTATATATCTAGCGGCTCTGGTAAAGCTGCGTTATTCCTAAAAGCACAGGTTTTCTCAAAGACTTGGCTTGTCACCTGCTCCTGACGCCTCAGTTAAGATCATAACCCCCGCTTTACACTCCTCATCCCTCTCACTTGGTATATTTGTTTCCCTGTAGCACCTTGAAAATTACTATCTATTCCTTGTGCCCTCTCCAATCCATAAGGACAAGGAATTCTGTCTCCTGTGCCCTGCATGTCCCCGATGCCTGGAACAGTGTCTGGCACCCAGTAGCTGCTCTGTAAATTCTGTGTAATTACTAGGTGGGACCCAATACCCAACAGTAAGAAAGGCATGGCCATATTTTGATTATTGTGGGGGACAAGGATCGGTTTCATTTCAGAGTGTGAAATAAAGAGAGATGTCTTTGGCTACATCAGTGATAACCCTTCAGCAGTCTCACTTTTTTTTTTTTTTTTTGGCTGCACTGTGCAGCTTGCGGGATCTTAGTTCCCCGACCAGGGATTGAACCTGTGTCCCATGCAGTGGAAGCGGGGAGTCCTAACCACTGGACTGCCAGGGAATTCTCTGCCTCACCTTTTCTTAATAATCCTGGTGCCTTTGTATTGAACCTCTCCTTGGTGCCTCGCTGGCAGTGAGCGCTCTACTGGGTTGGTCTCAGTGAATCAGCAGCCAACCCATGGGTGGGTACTGTGATTATCTGTATTTTTCAGTGGGGGAAACCAAGGCACAGAAGCATAAAAACCCGGCCTACGGTCACACCCCTAGAAGTGGGAAAGCTGGGGTGCTCGGAGGCCCTGTCTGGATTCTGTCTGCACCCTGGATCTCTAGATCCTGAGGATTCGGGTGATTCCTACCATCAGCTGTTAGTCAGAAAGGGAAACTTGAGAGGGGGAGAGAGACCAGCAGACCCTGAGTCCAAAAAGCCAATAACGGGACATGGATGGATCAGGGTTGTGGACAAAGTAGTAGTGGGGGTGACAGGGTAGAGACAGTGGAGGATAGAAAGAGCAGGGCCAGGAGCAGAGCCCCGGGGTCCTGCCACCGATGCCTGTTTGGCAGTGGGCAATTGCGTTCCCTGGGCACCACTCTGTGCCCAGTCCTGTGCTGGCACGACCCTGACCTCCTGGACCATGGGATGGAGGTACCCCAAGGTGGGGGGAGGGGGTATCCCCTGACTCAGCGTGGGGGAGTCAGGCATCTGCTTTTTATCCTTTCCTTCCTTCTTTGGCTTATTCTGTGGTTGCTACTGTTTCCAGCTTCTCAAGTCGCAGGCTCAGCTTGTTAACTGTCAGCCTTTCTCCTTTCTCTGTGCATTGCCAGAAGCAGGTTCTCCCTCCACATGCTGCACAGCTGTCCTCCTTGGAGCTCCCTTTACCTTCATCTGGGGATTCCTTCCTTTTGCCTTTTTTTGGGCTAGATCTTATTTCTTTGATCTGATAGCTTCCTTTTTCTTGGTTTATTCCTTCCTGTGGTGAAGCAAATCCTCCAGTAGCTTTCTGAGAAACGGTTCCTGGGCATGTTTTGTTTGTTTGTTCATTTTGTTTTGCCAACTTGCACCTCTCATGGAAGAATGTTAAACAGGGGAGTGCTGTGGTCTGATTTGTGTTTGGAAAGCTCTCTCTGGCTACCATGGAAAGGATGGAGCCGGAAATGCTAAACCAGGCCAGGGAGCCACGTGCGGAGGCTGGAGCAGCTGTACCTTTGAGAAGAGGTCCCAGCCTTCCAGAAATCCAGAGGATGAAGGGGAGAGAGGCCCTCACCCAGGTCATTGTCATTCAGCAAGGGCAGGTGACAGGTGCTGCCAGAGGAGGCCTGAGGAGGAAGAGATCCTGTGTAGCCTAGGATGGCACCAGCACAGCTCCTGGAGGAGGTGGCATCCTACCTTGGTCCTGGGAGCAGGATTTCCACCGGTGGACTCGGCTGGACCAGCTAGTTTTTCACAACAGGTCCCCAGTAGCAACTGTGCAGAAGGCAGACAGTATGGCAGTGTTAGGGGTTTGTTCAAACAAATGTGCACTGCACACCTGTGATGTGCTTGGGCGTTGCTTCTCACACTTAATTGTGCTTGCAATCCCCCAGAGAGCTTGTTGAAGTGCACATTCTGATTCAGTGGGTGTAGGGCAGAGCCCAAGACTGCATTTCTAACACACTCCCAGAGGCTGCCGCTCTGGGGACCACACTAATAGTAGCCAACCGCTTGGCGCTGTTCTAAACGCTGGCGACACAGCAGTGAAAAAAAACTAGGCAAAAGTATCAGCCTTGGGGGAGCTTTCATTTTAGTGAGGGGAGCGGACAATAAACTTTATAAAGTTTA